TGCAAATAGAAACATGATCGGACAGGTCTGGAAACCGTCCAAAGTAAAGGTGAGGCGTGGCGACTGTCGGGAACATCTGATAGCTTGGGAACCGTCCTAGGAGGTAATTGTAACGGTTCGCGATTTGGTAATTAATTAGAGAACAACGAGATTTATGTGGCTCCAGCGTCGGACTTGGAATCAGGAAAGGGAATCTGGAATCGCGCCGGGAACTTGTTTTATTGGGTGTTGTGGATGTTTTACATGGCTACAAAGTAGGTAAACGTGTAGTTTTACTTGTTCTACAATTTATCAATTTATCAAACATCAGCCAGTGTCACTTCGTGACTTCAAAATTAGTGAAATAATTGAATTAATTTACAATTTTCTCTTGCAAATTCTATTAAAACACTAAATTTAACGTAAGTTATTTTCTTCTTTACATTTTAAACAAATTACATTACAATATTTTAGTACTTGAATTTACTCAAACATACTATGAAAACTCAAAATCATATCAAAACACAAAATCTAACGTAAGTCATTTCGTTCCTTACATTTTATACAAATAGAATTACAATATTTTCGTATGGATGTAAACAAAATTGTATCATAACTTTCTGTTCTGATGTAAACAAATGTAAACTTGAAAAAGTGCAGATGATTGACAACAGAATTCAGCACAAACTCGGAAATGTTATAAGCCTGTAGGACGAAGGGTTTTCACGGGATATCATTCAACCCGCAAAAGGGACATCTAAAAGGATAAGAGCACAGACAATATAATACTGTAATAGTTTTCCGTAGTCTGTGATAAGAGTTTTAAACGGATGCTCAATATATAGGGGTCGATTTGCTGAATACAAAAATCCAACAAATTCTTTTAATAATATAGAAGATAGGGTTGCCGTCTAGGTGTGTATTTTATTGCCCAAATTTGAGAGGGATTAGTGTAGAATGGTGTGAGCTGATCTGTGTAGCTTTGTTACGTACTAAGATCAGTATCGCGAGTACAAATTACGTTTAAAATCATCACAGACGGTTCTATAGTCTGTGCTTAAATTTAAAAATAAATAATATACGTACCTATAACATACTAAATTATAATCATAATCATTCAAGTGTGCAAAGAAAATCCCATCGTTGTCTTTTTACCCTCTAGCTACAAGAGTTTTGGTTATTCAGTTGTGTTTTTAAAGTTGCAATATGTCAATGTTTTTTTTTTTTTTTTTTTTTTTTTTTTTTATTGTTATCATAGATTACAAGCATAGAATAAGAACCTTAAATTTTTTACTCGTGTCGTTTAACAATATTTACGCGAGTTGCGTACACTACTTACCTACGACATATTTTAATTACTAAAATAACTTCTAAGAGAGGTTATGTTTTCGTATAATCTATAATTGCCACTGACAGTGATGCGACGAAACATTGTACCAAACAATAATTGCACCACTCAACAATTAAATTGGCCTGAACAGCTGATTAGTTGAAGTTAGAATCATTACAATTTTACTTCTCTCTCAATCCTTGAACCTCATTGGTCCGATGCCCGTGTTGTTATGAGTAAAACTATGCTGTTATGAAAGTAAACAATGCTGTTATGTGAAACTTGTCAACTCTAAGAATTGAACTGAAATGGCTACTTTAAAAAAGGGTCATAGGTTAAATCCTGTTCGCCTATGTTACAAGTAACGCAGTACTGTACACAGCATTTGAAGAAAACGCTAAATTTTTTCATACGGACATTTGTATACACTGTGGAAACAGCTTAAGGTACGTTTTGCCTGGAGCGACAGGTGCGACGGTCGCGCAGCGACCGTCGCTTAGCGGCAGTCGCGGGACACTGATCAAAGGGGTTTTGCATAGTCCTGTTTTGCTTGGAGCTACTGTCGCTAGAGCCGCGAGCTGCAGTCGCTGGGTACTGCTCCAAGACCAGTCAGGAGCGACGGTCGCTTAGCGACAAGTTAAATTTTAGTGGTGAGGAAGACTACAGTTTATTAGAAGAAGTGGCAAAACACCCCGCGCTTTATATTATATCCTACAAAGACCAAGGAATAAAGGACAACATCAGGTTAGTTTAATATTATGTTATTATATTATAAGTTATTTTAACATATTAGTAGATTATTTAGATTGTCAACTTTAAATACTTCTAATTACATTTTCGTTTAGGTAATTTAATAAAATATTGTTCTGTATAAATGGTTGTTGATCAAATTGGCTTAAAAGTCAGGCGTGTCATATGTAAATATATAAAATGCCAATTATTAAAGTAATGTGTTAAGAAGAGGCTATTCAAATATTAATGGAGTATATAATGTAATTGGTATTTTTTCATTTACTATACAATCAACAAAATATAATTTTCACTCTGTGAGGAGGTTGTTTATAATACTGATTTCCAATTCAAGTTATGCTTGTGTACTACAGTACAATTGAGTAATTTTATTACATTTTGGCTTGTGATATGGCAGTTTTGGAATGTTACTCATAACAAATAACTAGGCCTATAAAGAATACTTTATTGTTAAGTTTTGCCTGTTTTACTAAGAGAATAATTTATCGAATTTATTTAGTGACTTTATACTTAGTGCGCACTTTTGAGGTTAGTTGCACTGACGGTACCACGTCTCGTGACGCCAGGAAGAAGAAGTTGTCGCTCCAAGCAAAACAGTCTACCACCCCGCGACTGCGGCTCGGCGACAGTCGCTGCGCGACCGTCGCACCTGTCGCTCCAGGCAAAACGTACCTTTAAATGTGTTGATAAAAATATAATAGAACAGTTTTTAATTTATCGACTCTATATTGAAGTGAAACTCACATTTGACTTTGGTGGTACCAACGCGTCAAAGGTCTTCATTTCGTGGGGGAAATTATTCAATTTATTACAGAAAATATTGCAATATTTTATTAGTTCCAACATAACTTTTATTATAGCTTTTTCGTTTGGCTAGGTCTTTGTGAAACCCTAATGTTTTAATTTAAATTATATAAGGATAAGTCAAACAGTGTATGATTATCATAAACGATTTCGCCACATTGTGCGGGATTTAACTACCAACTTCCCAAAACAAAATAATTACCGTCATCGTCTGGAGTTGACCAGTTGACCGTATGAAGGGGCTCGGAATGTAGAGCAGCCTGGCTGGATGACCAGTTGTCTGGGAGCTGGGAACATCGGCCTCAGGCTATCACCTGCGTTGTCTCCTGGTTCTGAGATACTGGAAACAGAACTCCTCTTGGATACTGCAGCCATTCCCTGGTGGATTTATCAGCCCCAATGACAATGATTGTAAGGTACTGGAAACTAAACAGTAGATTTCGTTACTAGACCGGAATATAAGTGTTTACCGGACAAGCGCGTTCGTTCCCGCGTGAGATGGAGTCGAGTGCGAGATTATCATACGAGTCCGGTGAACACGTTTTGGACGAGTGGCATTTTTCGCTTTACTACGCTAAAATAATCTAAGAATTAAATAAAAATATTTCAATCCGTTGTGAACTGAAGGTCTTCATTACTTATAGCTTCTATGAGAGGTCATGCTTTAGCTTATAACAACCTCATTGTCATTAGAATACTGTATTAGACAAGTGTTATTAACGAACTCAGTGAGTTTAGCTTGTACTTTACAGATTAAGGACGAAATCTACAGGAAAGTCTATTGAAACAAAGTATTCTGACCAACAACTATTCCTATGATAGCCATGTGAATACAAACAGCTGATCGGTATGCAACAATGCATTCAATAGTATACAACAAATCATATGCCTTCTCAATAAACCACTCTACATTTTAGCTTGGAATAAAGAGTATTTCTTCGTGTTCTTCAAACAGGCTTCACATATTACACTCTTCGACAATTGGGTCAGGTAGGTTTGGTTCTTTGTAAGGGACCTTTCTAAAAATAGTTCTATTTTGTGGGAGCCAACGAAAATTTGACGTTGTCAAGACAGATAACGTTGTGTTTGAGAGCAAGGACACCGTTCACAGAATAGCTTTTAGGGGTTTGGTTTGAAGAGTAGCAAATTGTTTGTCTGTGTTCGTTGTTAAGCTAGAACAACTCAATTTAGAGTTTTTTTCGTAGTTTTTTCCATTTAAAAGTTAACTGTAATGTACTATTACTAATTTTTTTCTTTTTCTTTCAGGTAAGCAAAGGAGATTCTTAGAATGGAGCTGGAACATACATGACATTCGGTAGGAAAATGCAAAATCAATAATTTCATCTGGTAGAGTGTAACCACAGAGAAGTAATATACATTTAGTAAAAAAATTATATTACTTCTCTGTGGTGTAACTAAAGTAAGGCTTGGCATGTTTAGTATGAGCTTCATTTACAGTAATCATATGTAGTACGCTGCTTTAGTTTTTTAGTATGTATCCTCTTTTACTAATGGTAGAATAAGTCCTTAGGTTTGACACGTTCCTTCCTAGCCGCCACACTTCTCTGTATGTATGTTCTACCAACGCCTAGAGAATGTGTTGAAAGAGGTACTTTGACATAATAAAGAATATCATTATATTCTTGATATAATAAGGATTAATACTTTTTATCGAGTTCATTTATTAAACATTTTATCAAATTTATACATATTGTCAATGTACATATTGTGCCTTAATTAGTTATAAAAGAAAAGCTAATATGAAACATGAAAGAAATATATGAGTAAAATAAACTGGGGTGAGACAACGATTCAAGGGGAAAAGACGAGATAAATGTTGAGGAAGACAAAATACGCTACTATCACTACATTCCACAAATGCATAACCTTCAAGCCGGGTCCATTCAATAATTAATCCTTAACAAACAAGTACAATTCTCAGATCCCATTACAAGTGTTATTATACAACTGGCAGGTACTGGTGGACGTCTACCTATTGTTGAGTGTGTGCGCGTGTGTGTGTGTACAACAATGATTGTCGTGCGCATGTGCGACGCATTGTTGCAGAGGTGCGCGGGGAGGGGGGGAGGTACAGCGAACCAGCTCCCAGCTTCATTTAGTATTAGTTTAGTTGTCGCGCAGACTCCGTTGTGTACGGAGCGCACGTGCGTCAGTGATTTCCGTGTGATGCGTTTGCGCTTTGGTGCAGTGATTGTTGACTATTGGATTATTGTCTATCGATATTTATGGGGTAATTAACTGCTTTGTAGTGTAAGTTAGTTTGTTTTAGGTACAATCTAAGTTGACGTTTTTCTTTCTACAGTGTAGGCGATTGATTTTAAATAGTTTTGACAGTGTTATTTTTATTTTAAACGAAATAAATTTTATATTTCTTCAACTTTGTTCTATAAAAGTATATGTAACTGAAAGTCAAATTAATTATTTATTTTGGAATATATATTATTTGATTAACTCCGCAGATACATATCTTGAACATATTTATAACTGTTTATCCCTCATTAATATCAAAATAATTACCACTTGTACACATATTGTTACTCAGTTCCCTTAATCTGTAACACTTTCCTACGTAACACGTTAATTTAATAATTTTAATAATGTTAATAATGTCAATATGTAGTTTTTTAGCATTATTACTATATTTGTAATAAACTATTCGAGCTTCTAAACCTAAATTAAAATATGTCTTGGTAATTTGTAACTTATGTAGTTTTTTAGCATTATTAGTACCTATTAATCTTTGTTTCATTTTTTTTTCTTATAAAACTATTAGAGTTTCTGAACTTAAATTAAAATATTTCTTGGTAATTTGTAACTTACTTTCCGGGAGTGTAATAGTGATAGTTAAATTAAACTTTACTGTCTTTACTAAAGCATTCTAGATTAATTTTCGTTTACTGTTTTAAATTTACGATATAAGTTTGCCAAAGGAAAATGGTATATTTGTTTGAAATTTGGAACCAGATCATATAGAAAAGAGTCACCAGTAAGTCGTCTCTGCATCAATCAGTAATGCGAGGGATAGTTGGTACAGAATGTTAGAGTTTTTACACTATTTTTAGCATTTAAAATAATGTATAAGAACACTGACGACACAGGCAAGCACGACAGTCGCGTGTGTGGTGTACACTAGTAGTACAAGTAGTAAAAACTATTGAAACCTAAAATAGCTCTAATTGGATAATAATCAAACACCGCGTTGTATAGTAGCGTTTTGATGTAGGATTCAACCCTGTAGAATTGATATTACGAGTTTATTGAGTCAGTGACATTGTCAAATCACTTGGTACTTGAGTATTACTGACAGTTCATAGATAACAGGTAAAATGCACTGAACATTATGGGACAGCCATGTATTACGATAAATCAAATACCTATAATCTCCTAAAATATGAATAATTTGTATTATTTTTACATATTTCGCTGTAAACACACTTATTCTACGTAAAAATGTTGATGCAACGGTGGCCCTTTATTCTTGAACTTACAATATTATAGACTATATGCATTTTTTTTTATAATCCCCACAATTAAACCAGAAAAGTATACGGTGCTTCTCACCAGTGAATTCAATTGTGTTCATAATCGTACAAATACATACGATTTCGTAGAAGGTTTATCCCACAACCCACTACAACACATTCTACCTGTAAACAAGGTATTCTGGAGTTTCAAATGTGTACATCCAAGCCTGATAATGGATTCTTTACGATCGGATGGAAGGAGCGTTGCTTCATAAACGTCGGTGTCTGGAAGAGTAGTATAATTAGTTGGGAACTACAACCCCGCCCATACGTGTCCCCTGCAGCGACTGTAGGAATGTACCTTGGAACTAGCGTAGGGCTATAGTCGGGTTATTGTAACTTTGTGTTTATCACATTAATGCGTATGATCCTAAGTTTAAATAAATAAACTAACTGTATTGTAACAGATTCGTGCGGATTGAAGTCGTCGATGATTGCAAGTGATTCATTATCATTATTTCAGCTTGAACACCTCAACAATTACATTGTTGTATGTAGGGTACATTGAAATTAGTATAGTCGAATTTATGTAACTTTGACCAAAACGACAACAAAGTTAAGATCAACCTTTAACAACTAAGGTTAAACTACTCAACTTTATTCTACTTTATTGCGTGTGTGTTTATCCCTAATCAAATTAAAAAGGAATAGTAAAATTGTATTTGCATTTTGAACATTTAAACAATCATATAGTATAGTTGTTGTATGTGCCTTAATAACTAGCGTATACTAGGTTTGTTCAGAGCCTATTTATACTAAGGTTAACCCGTTAAAGTCTAAATTTAAAACCTAACTATATCTTACTAGACTTTTGCGGATACGTCTACCAAACGTAGAACCCCTAACAAAATCAGAAAGGAGGACGATTTACCATCTACATCTTGGACATTTTAACTAGCACATAATCGTTTTGTTGTTCTCGTGGCTTTTCCAAGGTAAAAAAGTACAAGTAAAAGCATATGACTCTGAAACCCTATTGATATCAGGTAGGAGTACAACTAAAAGTTTTCTATTACATCTTGAACATTCTATCTAGGATAATTTTTTGTTGCACTCGTACGTCCGTGAAGTAGTCGAGAAAGAAACTCGAAGGAAAAAAACTAAATTGTACCAGTAGTATTAACTTATTGATGGTCTGGGAAAACTTAATTAAATCGTATTGTAAAGTAAATTACTGTAGAATAAAAATATTAACCCGGAAACAAGTCGATATTTTTATCTCCATGTTAAGCGCATTGGTTTAGTTAAAGTGAAACAATATGATGTGGTATTGGTATTATGCAAGTAAAGGATATAGGTAGTTGATCATTCTTGCTTTGATGAAATATATCGTAAATATACGGTGGAATGCATGTGATGCATTATATTATTATTTTAATATTATTTAATATTTATATTATTGTTTTAATAGTATTTAATATTTTATTACTAACAGTTCATAGTAGTAGACTAACGATCTTCCAAAATGCAAAGGCTGAACAATCAAACTAAATAAAATCCGATCATTCATTTACGAGCGATCTAGTTCTAGTTAAACCCGGATAAGAATTCCTATTGAATAATACTTGTCGAGATATGTACGTGCTAAATTTCACGAAACCGGTCATAGGTGGCTGAAAGAAAGCGGCTTGATATAAACAAGCAGGGAACTGACTGAGGGGCTGGTCCGTTCTGTATGCGTGAGTTTTTATAATAAATTAGAATATTGCCGGGGGAAATCTGCACCGAAATATAATCGCCTTGGTCGAGCTTATCGATGTTTTATTTCCTGGTGGTTCGAAATTTTGTTGATGTAAACAGTCGGTTAGTTAGCATTTTCGTAGGATCATTAGTGATCTTGAATGTTTTAATCGGAAAAATAATAGCTTTGGTTATGTATACAAACTAAATTACTATTGCCAATTAGGATACACAATTAGGAACGTTTATTTTAAGTTAATGACTAAATGTTTACACCTATAGTCGATAAAATCGCGGGTTTCAAAATCATGAAATTGATTTGAATGATTATACAGCTCATTAAAGTTGATAGTATTTGGATTTTGCATTGTTAAGAACTAATTGTCACTTAACGTAATTTACTTGGTAAAATAACGTCTTAAAAACAAAACTTTATTGGTAATCTAAACTACCTGATGTGAAGTATATTTTTTCGATGTTTCAGAAAATAGCGAAAATTATAAATAGTTACTATAACGTATTTGCCTAAATTACGTATTCTATTTTGAAATTTCGTCAAGTATTTCAATATTTTGTTTTAATTAGAAAGATTACTAAGTACCCTTAAATATACTCTAGCAGGTTTATAGAATTAATTGTCAGATAAAATAGATCTTGATGCAGACTATACAAACACACTCGTTTCGACATTTGATTCGTCCGTTTGAAGACATGTTTCGGTTACTAAGTGAGACATAACTCCGATATACTTGGTCAGTCAAGTATGCAAGATGGTCCTTTCACACATTGTTTAGTTATGGTTCTTATAACGAGACGTATTCGATGTACCGTGAAATGGAGGAGCGCGAGTCAATAGAACAGCTGACGACCGAGGAATCAGCTGATAGTTGATTGGAAGATAAATCATATGATTACATCTTGCTCTTTCATTGTTGATTATTGACTTAGCCACTTAGCCTATTACACGATCGGAAACAAGCAGGTTTGGAAATATTTGTTGATTGGCAGTTCGGTAAATCATTTTGGCCATCGTACTAATTTTTTTTATTTTTTATTAACGTATCCTATTACACTCCATCGAAGCAGGTTTGGAAGTATTTGTTCAGAGTTTAAATTGTCACTCAAACTGCAGGCTGTTTATCCGCCTCATAAATCCTAAAAATGTAGAAACAAAACGTAGGCCTAATTGTGAATTAAATTAGCAAATCATTTTTATTACCTACCACTTATTACCATGTCTTCATCTTTTACCCAATAAGGGATTGATGGCGTCAGAATTTCAATATATACAAAAATACATAATAACAAACTGAATTTGAGTAGATACAAACATATATTTACAAATAAACTTTGGCATGTGGATATGCGGTTTAGCCAGACAATTCAGGAAAACTATCCTCAAAAAAATCCTTTAGTGAGTAGTACGCTCTTGACTTAAGGAGAGGGACGAGCTTCTTCATGAAAAGTTTACGCCCAAGACGCTTGATCGAGTGAGGCAGCTTATTAAAAATTTGAATTGCCACTGTATTGTAACTCCTTTGCGATCTTGCAAGCATTTGGTTTGATAATGGTTAGCTTTCAAGCCTAAGGCTTAACTTCAAATGTAGCATAAATTTTATTTATGTGAAGGATTAGTTTGCCTCGTTGAAATCCAAGGACACTTCTATAAATACACCATGGTTAGACAATTTGTATGAAATTAAGCAAAGTGTTTGATATCGTTAGTACGTACTGTCTGACTTTTGTTGGCCATCTATATGGACCAAAGTAACAAAATGTAACAAAATATTTTATTCAAATAGAAAATAGATGAATGAGTCACAAAGTTAGCTATAGGTCAAAATTCCATTTTATTTCTTGGTGTTATGTACTATGTTGATGTCACATAAAACGTAATACAGTATAGTGTACAGTTATTCTTTCAGTTCGACTTACGTATTAAGTTGTCGTATTTGACAGAAACCCGTTGGTTACATCATTGCAATCTGTCAGTGGCCACAACTACTGTACGTTAATTTTTATTCGA